GGCATTGGGCCCGCTTGGTCGTTGTGCTACCACTTCGGCCATGAGTGTCTCCATCGTCTGGACGGGGCCCCAGGGCTGGTGCGGACAATGCCCATGGATCTACATAGTCCGGGCGCTAGTGTTAGGGGGGGGAGGCCAATGCAACACAGGCTCCGAAACGGCCCTGTCACGCCAGAGAGCATGCCCGCGAAGGGCGATGCGGGCGGAGGAGGACGAAGGGGGGGGGAGCGCGGACGGCGGGCGAGGGGCGTCGAGGGGCATTGATGGTGGCGCGCGTGAATGACCGGCATGGCATATTATCTGGCGCTGGGCTGGACTACAGCAGGCGGCCCTGCAGGGCGAGGGAATACTTAATGGCTGCCCTGTATTACATAGTGATTATCATAACATGGGCTGCCCCCCCCCCGAATTGGGGTTGGTGGCTTGCTTATCGATTGCCTGGGGGGCCCGTGTCGCATCTTGTTGCCAGGCCCACGCTGCCAACACCAGCCCGCCATCAACAAACGTCGCCCGTCGGCCCGCGGCGAAGAAGAAGAAACGAAGTCATCACCCACCATCGCCCGCCGCACCCCCCAGGCTGTGTTGAGGCCCTGTCTGCACTGCGAAACACACACGCAAACTTAAAGTGCGCCCCCGATGGAGTCGTCGACGCCCACGCCCTACAAGCCCTCGCCGCTCTCCTTCAACAACACACAGCGCCAGTCGCCCTTTCGCCGCCCAGGCTCCATCCGAGAGGCCTCGCCCTCGACCCTCCGGCCCTCGACACCCACCAGCTCGCCGCTGAAGCCCAAGGAGACGCCCACGACTCCTTCGCAGGCAAACCTCCGCCCCACGGCCGCCGCCGCTGGCAATGCACCGCCATCTCCCCCGCCATGGCTGCACACGCGCAACCAGTCGGCCACGCCAGAGCCCACGTCGCCCGCGCGCAATGGCTCGCCCACGCGCAACGTCTCCTTCATGGGGGGCAGCTCGGTCCGCCCGCTAAGCACGGCGTCGATTGCTGCCAAGTTCGAGGGCGCGGGCAGAGAAGACGCCCCGCTGCCTCTCGCCTTCCGCAAAGCCTCGCCGCCCGTTGACCCTGTCAAGCCTGTCGAAACGCTGGCAGACCGTTTGGCAGAGTACCCGTCAGCACGCTCTCCCGCCCGCTCTCCCGCTCGCTCGCCTGCACGTTCGCCTGCACGTTCTCCCGCCCGCTCGCCAGCACGCTCGCCCGCCCGCTCACCAGCGCACTCACCAGCCCCCATCGAGCGCCTGGCTCCCCGGCCAGTCCCCGTGCAACGACGAGTATCGAGCGATGCCCTCTCCAAGCTGCCCCCGCCTCTGCTGCACACCATGCGCGAGTCGTTTAGTGTCATGGACCGCGACGACGACGGACATGTCAATGCCGCAGATGTGGCCGACATGCTGTCCCAGCTCGGCCTCTCAGCCACACCCTCACAGCTCTCGTCTTACTTCAAAGGTGCACAGTCCATCAACCTAGCCACGTACCTGACCACACTGTCCGACCTGTTTGGCAACCTGTCGCACCAGAGTGAACTGAGCGCAGCCTTTGAGGCCTTTGACGACAACGACGACGGACAGATCGACCTGGCCGAGCTGAAAGATGCTCTGCTGCACACGGCACCGCAACCGGGAGAGACGCTGCTGACGGAGCGCGAGATTGACATGGTGGTGGATGGATTCAGCGGGCGGAGAGCCTTTGGCAAGGGCGGCAAGGGTCTGGGCAGGGGAGAGGTGTTTAGGTATCAAGACTTCATGTCCAATCTCGTGGGCGGCGGTAATAGCGGGGAGAATGCCGAGGGAGCTGCTGCGTCTGCTTGAGTTGGGCGCTGTATCCCGTTGCGACATGAAGAGCCTGGCTGAGATACAACCAGGATTAATGAAGGAACCCGACCTAGCCATAAGGTCATAATGCTACGCAAGCTCTAGCCGCACACTCACAACCAATGCACTGCAAAGCATTGTCGCTTATCTGAATCACCTGGTGGTTTCGCTACCACAGCAAAGCATAGCATAGTCGGCATGCTCGAGTCTTGGCCGACGACGACACCGAGGTGTGGAGGGCGTGCTCTGGTGTCAATGGCTACACGCTGTAAACTGCTGGCTATTTCCGTCTTGCCAGCCTATGGCACGGGCGTCGTAGACCTGGTTCCGTCTCTGTGTGAAATTGTGATAGGTTGCGTGGACGGACGGGCCATGGTATTGGTTTCGCAGCCCAGGGGTGGCAGCCTCGACGGCCCAATGGTTCCGGTGCATACACCAAGAAATGTTGCACGTGCTCCAATCAAGGTTGAGAGCGGCGGCGGGAGGCCATTGCCCTGTATCTGGGGATCCTGGGGATGGACAAAAGTCGGTCACGGCATCTGGGGCGGTGGATTGGTAATGGCAATGTGATTTTCGTTTGTTTTTGCGTAAGACGGGTTGGGCTGTGTAGACCTAGGGCGTGGGGATACGAAGGACCCCTCTTTTCTGGTATGCAGGACACGGCCATGATGGCCTTGGTGCCGGCGTGTAGTAGGCGGCATCTCTCCGCATAGCAGCAATGGCAATGGCAATGGCATGGCATGGCATGGCGTCTCACGGATGCCGTCATGGCGCACATGTGGGCGGCCGGTCAACGGGTGGCAGCACGCGGTCTGCGGTGAGGACGGGCAGACAAAGACGTGGCCCAGTGGTGGTGGTGTCGCCAGCCCTGCGGCTAGTGTGGCCTCGCACTGGCCGGGCCGCCCACGCCATTGGAGGGAGGCGGCACG